ATTTCTGTGTACAAATGAACAGTGCGCATTTGAACGGTGTCTAAATGAACGGTGCGCATTTTCTTGCGTGTCCAAATGCACCGTGTCTAATTGAACCGTGTCTAAAATTCTGTGTCTATTTGCAACGTGTCCAATTGAACGGTGTCTAAGTGAATGCCACTCCCTTTGCGTATCCGATATGTGTGCCCCGCTGGGGCGACGGGCTAACATAACAAGGGAGCCGGCTCCCCCAACACCCATCACCCCAGCCCCTCTTCCCGCTGTTAGTGTAAGCGGGAAGGGGTCTATTGTCATGACGGAGTCCTTGGTCCCCGAGGACGCGCGCGGGAAGCGGGGGCAATTCTGCACCCCGCTCGCACGCGGCCCCGGGGCCCCGCTGCTGGGAGAGGGGCTCTCTCCCTCTCCCGTTCTGCGGCCTCCTTCTGCTTCAAAATCTCGGAGCAGAAGGAGACTACAGCGCCCCACATGTCCTCATCCCCGGAGGCTAGCGCCTTTAGTAGGCCTTCATGGGAGAGGTCTGCTCCTATTTTGGCGACCATTGCTTGGCGCTCTCCTGACTACCGTAGACATTCCTCCACCGTGTGGTCCACCGAGTCACTGGCCGCCCCGCACGCGTGGCATTGTGCCGTCGGTTCCTTGTTAATGCGACACAAGTACTCCCCGAAGCAACCGTGCCCAGTGAGCACCTGCGTCACGCGATAGGTAAGGCGTCCGATCTCTTTCTTCTCCAACCACTCCCGTAAGTGGGGTCGGATGACCCGGACAATCTCTTGGGCATTCGCACGCGGCTCACCCAGAAGTTCCTCCCAACGCTGGAGGAGTTGTTGCCGGGCCTGGCGCTCCGAATTGGCGAGGGCTTCCCGGAAAGCGTCTCCCTTCACGCTCTCTCGCAGCAGCTCAACCCGGCAATCATACCGGGTCGAGTATAGTTGCGCGAGGAGGGCAAGAGGAAGTGTCCCCGCCAATAAACCCGCCGTCTCTGTGGGCACTGTGCGGAAGCCGCGAATCACGCGGAGGGTGATCCTTCTCTGGGCAGTGCGGAACAAACCAAACTTGCTTCGCGCGCTCGCCCCCGCCGCGGCCTCCCACAGCGGTGATCCATAAAGGGCCACCGCGTGTACCACGTTGGTAAAGAGACGACGGACCTTCTCACGTGGGCCCCCGAAGTTCGGAAGGAGTCTTGTCAGTAAGTTGGCGACCCTTCCGACTTTGGGGGCCAGACAAACAAAGTGTTCGTCAAAGCGCCACCTCGGGTCGAGGTGACGACCGAGGTACTTGAAAGTTGTACCCACCTGTGCCTCACCTATCTTGAGGCTGAGCTTCGGCACTCGCCCACGGGGGAGGCCATGAAACCACATGGCTTCCGTTTTGTGAACGGCCACCTTTAGGCCCAGCCTCTCAATTCGGCCGACGACAAATTTGTGCTCGCCTCTGCCAAAACCCTGGCCCTCCTCCAGTCCTGCTCGGTGACCTCGACAAGGATGTCATCCGCGTAACAGATGACACCTGTGCCTTCGAGCATGGCGGCCTGGATCACCACGTTGTACCCGAGATTCCATAGCAGGGGGCCTAGCACGGACCCCTGCAGAACCCCGCGGTACATCTCCCTTACGTGTGGTGACCCATACCGGCCGGTGTACTTGACCTCCCTGCCGCAGAAGTAATCCCCAAGGATCCTACGCAGATAGGGTGGGGTGCCGTGACGGTCTAACGCCCACCCTATACTATCCCAGGAAAGGGAGTTGAAGGCGTTGGATATGTCAAGGCTGACAGCCAACGCCACTCTCCCCTGCCTGACCGCTGCATCCGTGAGGGACTTGAGGCGGTAGATTGCGTCCACCGTCGATTGTCCCTCACGGAAACCGAACGGCCAGGTCGGGACCAACCCGCGACAGGTGCCCGGTGAGGCGGGCAGCGACCACGCGCTCGAGTAACTTGCCCGCCTCGTCGAGCAAACAGATCGGCCGGTACGCGGACGGCGAGTCCGCGGGCCGACCCCCTTTACGGAGGAGGACCAGTTTGGCCTTCTTTCATTGTGGGGGGAACCATCCTGTCCTCAGGCAGTCGGAGAGTAACTGCCTGAGACGGGCTCCTAAGGGACCTTGTCCGAAGGCAAAGCCCACGACTTTTTCGGGCACGCCATCGGGACCGGGCGCGGTATTTTTCCGCGTCATCCGATGGACGGCCCGGCAGAACTCCTCTTCCGTGACCCCCAGTTTGTCTGACCACTCTACAGGGTCCGGCTCTGGCTCCGGAGAGGGCCACTTACCTCTCCTATCTGGGAAGAGTGTTGACACGACCCTCTCCAGAAGCTGAAGGTCGAGATTCTCCGTGATCGGGGGAGCCCATGGGCAAAGTTTGCTCATGACCAACCTGTAAGGGCGTCCCCACGGATCATCGTCGAGAGTCTCCAGGAATTCCGTCCACGCTCTGGACTTCGCCTGAGTGATGGCAGTACGGAGGGCCTTACGCGCCTTAACATTTCCTTCGTACGCCAACTCCGCTGCTTGTGTCCCTCTGCCGCCAGGACTGCGGCTGAGAACATGAGTGTACCGGCGTCAGGACTTGACGCATGCCATCCTTAGGGTGGCTATCTCATCTGTCCACTAATACACAGACCTCCTGTTCGGTGGTCCCCAAAGAACGCGGCATCGCCATGTCGCAAAGGTCGACAAGCGTCTCGGTGAACTACCGAACTTCCGCCCGGAGGTCTCGCGGCTCGGCCGGAGGATCCGGCCACGCCGCGACCTGAACAGCGACGGACAGGTACTCTGGGTCTAGCTTGAGCAAGACCCATCTCTGGGTTAGAGATCTTTTCGTCGGCAGACGGCCCCGGAGCTGGTCAGGGAGTACGGAGACCGCCATCGTAATGTAACGATGATCAGACAAGGTCTCCATATCATTCCTGACGCGCCAACCGGACACACGTCGCACGACAGAGTGCGAGGTGGGGTCACATCAACGATGGACCATCCCCGCGTCGCACGCACGTGTGCAGCGAGCCCTGATTCAGAGAAACGAGCTCGCAGGCCGCCGCGAAGGTTTCTAGAGACCGGCCCCTCGCGTTAGTCCTAGGGGAACTCTAAGTACTAGACTTGGCGTTGAAGTCGCCCAGGACAAGCACTGGACGAGCCAGATACCGGCGAACCACCCGGCCCAGCTCGTCCAGAAATACCTCAAAGTCGGCGAGGAGCACGGACGGCGAGAAGTACACTCCTATAACCGCTAGTTCCCCCCACTGAACTGCGAGGAATCCTCTGCCTCTCTCCAAAGGAAAGAAAACAGAGGATTCACACCCACCCTTCCATGGAAATACGTCGCGACCAAACCGTCTTCCGACCCCGATTACGACGGGTGGTTAGGGATATTGTACGGCTCGGCCACGACCGCGAGCACACCCCCCAACTCCGCGAGGCTTTGCACCATCAGGTCCTACGCCCCGCGAGAGTGGTGCAGATTGTCCTGGAGGAGGACAGCCATTATGGCGTGGGTAGCACCTCCACCTCCATCGCCTCCTCCGGGACTCCGCTACTGGGAGAGAGGGGAGACTGGCTCACCTTTCCCGCCACTTCCGCTGCTGCCGGTGCGGCAGCAGGGGCTGCCTCTTGTGTGGGGGAAGGACCAGAGTTTTTTCCCTCCGTGGCTTTCTTTGCCCCGCGTTTCCCCTTACGGGGAATTGGAGCACAAGCCTTTCTACCCAGTTGGTGGGCTGCAGGCCGACAAAGGTCGGAGCACAGCGGACACTTAGCTGGTGCTGAGCAGTCCGCCGAGTGATGGCCCCGACCGCCACACCGGAAGCACCGGTCCCGCCTGTCCTCCTCCGGCGCGGTGTAGGTGCACGTCGCAACGACGTGCTCACGCCAGAGGCATCTGTGGCATTGCAGGGGCTGGCGCCCCATTACCTCAACTGTGGCCTGCACCCACCATACTTTAATAGATCCGGTGTCCGCAATTTTGCGCGCTGCCGCGACGGGACACCGGACCCAGACCGTGAATAGCCGGTTGGGGGAAGCGCGAGCTCGGCCAACCTGGACTACGGTTGACCGACAACTCCCAACGGTTATCACGACCTTCCTCACTTCCTCCGGGGTTACCGAGTCGTCGAGGCCCTTAACGCGCATCTCGCACGTGTTAACGGGCCTTGCGAACGTTACCCCGGAGTCCCTCTCTGCGGCCACCATGGCCGCAAAGAGCCTGTCGGCCCTTTCTTTACTGCCCTCACCGGGGATCTCTATTATGAGAGCCCCGGTGATGGCTTTCTTGGGCTCAATGTCGAAATCTTTTGGGTTGAGTTTGGCCCGTACCCTCGCGAACACTTTCCCCATCTCCTTTATCCCCGTTCCTGGGGCAGGGGTGAGGGTTGTCGCCGCTGAGCACGAGAGTCTGCCCACCTAAGGCTGATGTGGGCGCTGTCTGGGCTTGGATCCCGGAACAGCGGGTTTTCCACCTCCCCCAGAGGCGGAAAGGGTATTTCCCTTCTGCTTACTCTTCTTCCGTCCCACCACCTGAGACCATGTCTCTCGTGGTGGGACCGGAAGCGCAAGCCGGTCGAGGGGCTGGTTGGAGGATCCAGGCTGCGTCAGTGTTTGAGCCTTGGCTCTACCGACAGCAGCTGTGGGTCCCCCATCCCTCTCCCGTTCTCCTCCCTTCTTCTCTTTTGTCTCCTTCTTTTTCTTTTTCCCCTGCTTAGCAGCCCATCTACTCTTTGAAGGCGGTAGTGGCGGGGGGCTTGCTCCCCGTTCCCGTCCTTTTACCCACAACACCCACCCCAACGATGGGCGAAGGAGCCGGAGATGGATCTGCTCGTAGAAGATCTCCAAACTTTTCTCGAGCTTCTCCATCAGCCGGCCCTTCATTTCACGGAGAGACTTGGGGCCCTCATCAACCGCCGGCGGTGATGAGTGTTAGGGCGCCTCCTACATCTTCGGCCCGTCCCTTACAGAGGAGTCCCTGCCCGAATCCTCCATCGGCGTGGGGGACGTGGCCTCTACGTGAGGCCCTTCCAACGCCCGGGAGGAAGACGGCACAGGCGACTCCTTTCCTGCTTGTGAGGAGGGAATGGCTTGAGGCTGCTGGGGGAGGGGAGTCGAGCGGCCCTTAGGGCCATTCCTCCCCCCGACCTCCTCGGACCTCCCATGCGTCCCTTGCTCTGGCTCCGTAAGGGGCCAAGGCACAGGGACGTGCTCTTCTCACGAACTGTCTTCTCCGAGACAGCCTTCGCAGGCGTAGAATCCTGTGCCACCCCTGCAAGGCAAGTGGCACAAAGCCCGTCGTAGGATAACAACGCGCGGGAAACCGGGACGATATCCCCCGCGTGCCGGGACCTGGCCGTCCGTTCGACCTGGTCCGGTACGTTCTTCTTCTTGTCCTTGCACTCCATTATAATTTTTCCAATGTAGGGTTTAATTTCGGGATCTCCTTCCCCTAGGACGGTTGACGATTAAGTCTGACGAGCCCGAATTGCCCGGGTTTCTTGTTTCGGGGTTTTCCTTCCCCTAGTGCGGCCCTCCCACGTGGGGTAACGAGCCCGCACGCCCGGATTTGAATTCAGGGTTTACTCTCCTATTACGTTTGCGCCGTGGCTGACGAGGCGGACATCCCCGGATTTGAAGTCAGGGTTTTCTCCCTTATCCCAGTTGCCCCCGTCTTTGGGGACTAACGGAGCTGAGAACTCCGGGTTTTTGTTCAAAGTTTTCCTTTCTCTATTCCCACTCTTAGTACGGGAGCTCGGTGAGAGGCCTTCCTAGCATGGGTGACCCTGCCAGGGACTCGAAGAGTCCTCGCCAGTAAAGCCTCTCCCCTTTTTTTTTTTTTTTTTTACATGGGAGAAATCCTTTATGGATACCCTGACTCTGGGGGGAAGGGTCAGGATTATGTGGGAATCCCTCTTCTCGCCCTCAAGCAAGAGGAGGTGTACCCACTAAAACTCCCATGGTGTGTCTTCCTTGCTCTTAGTAGGGAGGGACCCGGGATTCCATTATAAGGATGCACGCGGGTCCCCCCTGGAGCTGTTTACTTCTGGGAGGAGGAGGGTGACAGAAACATAATTCTCTCTCCCCTCCCCCTCGAGCATTGTGCGCTCCAACCTTGTACTCGGTGTCACCGCGGGACACACGCTGCGGTAACATCCCTTCTCTTAGGCCGCGTGCAGAACAAGCCAAGGCCTCCACTCGTCACGGCCCCCGCGGCGGCTTAAGTATAACACGCATCCGTGGTGGCTATGCTGTCCAAGGGGAGGGAATTGAAGGCATTGGAGATATCGAGAGACACTGCCAATGTCCTCCTCTCCTGCCTGGTCGACGCTTCTGTGAGGGACTTTAGGCGAAAAACGACATCCACCATTGGCCGTCTCCCACGGAATCCATACTGGCAGTCGGCCAGGTCGGGACCCTCCCGTGACAGGTGCTCGACAAGGTGATTGGCAATGATCCGCTTTAAGAGCTTGCCCGCCTCGAGTAAACAAATCGGCCGGTACGCGGATGGCGAGTCCGCAGGCCTCCCTCCTTTGCGGAGCAGAACCAGGTTGGCTTGCTTCCAAGCTGGGGGGAACTAACTGGTCCTCAGGTAGTCAGTAAGAACCTGCCTGAGGCGCTCTCCCAAGGGACCCTGTCCGAAGGCAAAGCCCAATACTTTGCCGGGCACGCCGTCGGGACCGGGAGCGGTATTCTTCCGCGTCATCCGACGGACGGCCCGGCGGAACTCCTCTTCTGAAACCCCCATTTTGTTGGCCCACTCAACAGGGTGATCGAACTCCGGCTGCTGGGAGGGCCAAGCGCCTCTCCCGCCGTGGAAGACGGTCGACCTCACCCTTTCCAACAGCTGGGGGTCCAGGCTTTCCGTGACCGGCGGGGTCCAGGAGCGTAACTTGCTCATTACCAAGCAGTATGGGCGGCCCCATGGATCCGCGTCGATTGCATCCAGGAGTTCCTGCTACGCTCGGGACTTTGCTTTCTTAATGGCGACTCTGAGGGCTTTGCGTGCTGCACGATATACCTCATAAGCCGCCTCCGTTGCTCTGACTGCCTCGTCGCCTCGGTGTAGTCGGCGACGGGCGTGTGTGTACTGGTGGTGGGCTCGCACACTAGCGGTCCGGAGACCAGCGATCTCTTCCGACCACCAATACACCGACCTCCGGTTCGGTGGCCCACGAGAGCGCGGCATGGTCGCATCACAGATCATGTGTAGTATCTCGCGGAACCACCGGAGCTCTGCTTGGAGGTCGCGCGGCTCGGCCGGTGGACGTGGCCAGACCGCGGCCTGAGCAGCGGTGGACAGGATGCTTGGATCCAACTTCCTAAGGACCCACCCTTGGGAGCGGGGCTTACGTCTTCCCCCGTGGCGACCCCAAAAGGAGCTAGAAAGTACGGAGACCCTCATCGTTATGTAACGATGATCGGAGAGGGTCTCTAGATCTTTCCTGACCTTCCACTCGGACACACGTGCAACAGCGGACGGGGAAGCAAAGGTCACATCAACGATGGACCCCTCGTCGCGCCTTACGCACGTGTGTTGCGTGCCCTCATTAACTGTGGCAAAACCGTAGGCCGCAATACATTCCTCGAGGGCTCTTCCGCGTATATCAGTCCTGGGGGAACCCCAAGTCACCGACTTGGCGTTAAAGTCCCCCAGGACCAGTAAGGGGCGGGGCTGGAGACGGTGTATCACCTGCTCCAGCCCGTCCAGAAATTCCTCGAATTCGTGGAAGGGCCTCGTGGGGGAGAAATAACACCCCACGATCGCCAGTTCTCCCCATTCGCACGCGACATATCCTTCTCCCCTTTCGAGGGAAAAGAAGAAGGTGGACGAGCGTCCCCATCTAAAGTGCAAAGCGACCGAGCCGTCCTCCGATCCCAGCCACGACGGGTGGTCTGGGACGGAGGAAGGCTCAGCCGCAACCGCCAGGGATCCATCCAGCTCCGCAAGGCTATGTACCAAAAGGTCCTGGGCCTTGCGGGCGTGATTCAGATTACCCTGGAGGAGTAAAGACATTACGTAATGTTCATTACGTCCTCCTCCAGGGCCCTACTCTCAGGAAGGGAGGAAGGTGCAATCCCCTCACTGGTTGTTGCTGTGATTGACACAGCAGCCGTCGTCTCCTCCTGAAAAGTGGGCTGTGTGCCACTCCTCTTTGCGGTTTTGGGCGCCCGCTTACTTTTGCTGGGGGTCGGTGTGCACGCTCCCCCAGACGATGGTTCGCGGGACGCCCAAAGTCCGCGCATAGGAAGCATTTGGGTGCCGACGTACACGTTGACACCCTGTTGCCCCGATTACCGCAATTGAAGCAGCGACCCCTCCGGTCCTCCTCCGGCGCGGTAAAGGTGCACGCGGACATCACGTGTCCGCGCCGGAGGCATCTGTGGCACTGGAGGAGTCTCCTCTCCAGCACCTCGATGGGTGCACGCACCTAACCGACTCTGAGTGCCCCGGCTGCCACAACCTTTCGAGCTGCGGTTAGTGGGTACTGCACCCACGCTGTGGATAACTCACCGAGGGAGGCGCGAAGTCGGCCGAACTTGACTTCGGTTGACCGGCAGCCCCCGGTAGACGCCACAGCTTCTTAGATCTCCTCGGGAGAGATCGACTCGTCGAGACCTCGGACACGTAGTTTTACGGTATTTATTGGTCTCGCGAGTCGTCCCCCCTTCTCGGACACCAAGGAGTGCATGGCGTTGTGCAACGCCTCCGCCTTGGTGTCGCTATTTTCGCCAAGGATCTTTAAAATTAGAGCCTTGGTGAGTGCTCTTCTTGGGCGGAGGTCCTGAATCCCGAGGGGCTCAAGAGCCGCCTTCCCACGGACATACTTCATGACCTCTCCCAGAAATTCTACCTTTGCCCCGTCTGGGGCTGAAAGCACCACCGCCGCAGAGCGGGGTGGCCTGCCCAACTTTGGTTGGGAGGGGTGCTCTTATTAGCATCCGCCCCCGTTTTGGCCGACTTCTTCTTCCCCCTGGCACCACCCGATGGAGGTGGGGCAGGGGTGAAGCATGTGGCTTCTTCTTTCCGCGTCCCACCACCTGGGACCAGGTGTCCCGTGAGATGGAGAGAGCGGAAGGCTGAGAAGAGGACGGCAAAGGGCCAGGCAACGCAGGCTTGGGGGCTTGGGATGCAGTTTTGGCCACCTCCTTGGCTCCGCCGCCTCTCTTTTTGCTCCTCTTTTTTTTTTGTTGTTGGGACAGAGGGTGGGAATGCCGGTTTGTCAGTTGCTCCCACTGCAACCAGGCCGCTGCATCCCGCTTCTGCCACAGCTACTTCCTCTGTCCTCCCTTGTGATTGACTCCGTAAAGGGGGACGAACGGACAGGCGATGTACTACCTGCTCGTAAAAA